TCTCTCTCTCTCTCTCTCTCTCTCTCTCTCTCTCTCTCTCTCTCTCTCTCTCTCTCTCTCGCTCTCTCTCTCCCTCTCTCTCTCTCTCTCTCTCTCTCTCTCTCTCTCACACATCGCTCCCTCTCTCTCTCTCTCTCTCTCTCTCTCTCTCTCTCTCTCCAATGCATATCCAGCGTCACTGGTCACTGGCCAGGCAACGTTTGGTGCACCGATCCCGCCATGGACAAAGCACCGCCGTCGGACATGCACCAATCGTCGTCGCCTCATTCGCCGCAGATGTTTATGTCTTCCGTGCAGCCTCATGTTCCCCAAAAGGTTGCCTCCTTCGCCTCGCCGCATCGCCATGTCGCCTCTCCTCCTCCAGGGGTTGTGGCTAGTCATGTTGTTCGTGATCCTTTGCCATTACCAACTGGTTTTCCCCCACTCCCGACGTTCAATTCCATGCCGTGGACATCTCCTTTTTTTTTCAACTTCGTTTATGACACCAAGCTGCAATACAGAAGGTGAGAGTTCGCCGTGCGGCGTGCAGTGTGTGGCGGCCTTCGGCCAGCAGTTACGTGAAGTCAGTGAGCGCTGGTAGCGCCAGCGCCGCGCCCACATGCGTTGTTGCAGCAGATGGTCCGACAATTGTTGGGATGGGAATGCTGAAACTAGCCTCCTCCCGGTCATCCCTTGTGTCCAGCACATTCCCCCCCCAGGAGTCCGTTGCTATGAGAGGGAATATGCCATGCTCTAACGTGTCACTGCGGCCTCCCCTTCGTGGCGTGCAAACATCCGAAACAGCGTTCTCGATTCATGCGAGACATGGGCTCCCCACCATGGTTGGCAGCACCTTCTACCACGCTGCACCAGGTGCAGAGGCTGACCAGTCGCTGGGCATGGAGGATGCGTTCATGGGAGAAGCCGGTACAGGAACAGAGGCGGACATCGCAGGGACTCAACGTCGGCGTGCATGCGACATGAGCACGGGCAAGGAGGATCCACAGGTGCCAGGTGCGGGTGGCAATGCCGGCGACAGTGGAGTAAGGCCGGCGCCACCCGGCATGCGAGGGCGTGGGGGGGGGCGTGGAGAGAAGGGGGGGCGTGGAGAGAAGGGGGGGCGTGGAGAGAAGCCCAGGGTTTGAGGTCCGGATTGGGGACATAAGGATACCCTGGCATTGCTCCGCCTGCTGTTTGAGGACGACGCTGAGCAGCAACAAGGGAGTGGCAGAGAGAAGTTGAGAACGAAGCGGGAGAGGTACGAATGGGTTGTTTTGAAGCTCGTCGAACAGGGGTTTCCAAAACGGGAACATGATGAGGCAGCAAATCGTTTCTATAGTGTCTTGGACAATGCGAAGAAGATCCGCGACTTTCAGAAGAGGTCCAGGGAAAGGATATTTTGGAACATGGAGCGTGCGGAGCGCAGGGAGGAGGGGCTGCCCCTGGTTTTCGAACAAGCCACTTTCGACGCACTACAGTGGAAACTTAAGAAGTCTGATGGATTATGTGAAGGCATGGTGGACTCTGTCCATCGCTTAGCCCGGGCTGCGAGCGCTGTCACGGATGACGATGAAGGCGGGGCCGCGAGTGAGGGGCATGCAGGATATCGCTGGAAGGTCGAAAGCGATAGCGATGAGAGTTCCAAAATGCGCCGGCATTCCGGAGGGAGAGCTGGCGGGCGTAGCAGTTTGGAATTCGAACAACCTGAACCGTCGAGGAAAGGTGCTGCTTTGGCAGACATGGCGACTGTAATCGTCGAGGCAAATGAACTTCAAGCGGAGAAAATAGCGGGATCTTTTGCTCACGTCATGGACGGCCTTAACAAGACATTCGCAGACGGCAACACTAAGTTGTTGCAATATTTCTCTATGTTAGCGACTACTATGGGTGGAAGGTCGGAGTCCTCATCCTCCCGTTCGCAAACTCGAGTGCACAGTGACGCTGACGAGGCTAATGCGAAGAACGAATGATAGTGGTGATGACAAGGCCTGCGCTGTTGTCAAGTGTGGTGAATGTGTGATTCTGATACGTGGCCCGCCGTGTCTGTCAATATATTGATCGCTTTTGTTGCAGGGCTCGTTGCCTGTGTTCTGCTTCTCCTCTCTGGCTTACGTCGACAATGGCACCCTCTCCCGTTCGCGATATTGCTGAGGTGTGCAACATGGCGGGCGATCTCGCGCTCACACATCGTCGATTGATTAAGAACGCCCACGAACTGGCCAGAAAACGGGGAGTCCTATTTAAATGTGTGTCGAAGATGGTGGAAGACATAAAAGAGTTGCGGTCAGCATTAGACGTCGCTCAAGTGGTTGAGGCGGTCGCTGTGTCTAGAGCGGAAGCAGCGGAGAGGGCGGTGGTAGAATTACGTCAAGAGGTCAAGATCCTTCAACGCACAGTCGCTAACATCGGTGGTGCGTCCGAACAACATGGCTGTGATGGAGACAATTTCGGAATGCCATTCAACAGCCCGGGAAGCAGCCGCACACGCACCGTTTCGCAAGTTGTYGTCTCCGTCKGAACTRTACCGACGGAATCCCCCAGACGTGCGCGCTCTGTGCACAGGCACGTCCCTAACTCCCCCCATAGCCCCYGTCCTGCATTTGTTRAAGGGCTGTCTCCGGATTCTAATCGAAGTGATGTCAACACAGTGGCTGAAAGGCTTCGTAGGGCCATGTCCGTAGACCCAACTTCCCCTTCAATGTAGTTAGTTGTCTTCGTGCTGCCAATTTGATCTGTGGCGGCTGTAGTTGCAGGAAAACCATGCTATCCCTCCGACTACCCCCCCCCTCCCCTCCCCTTCCCCTTCTGGTCCGGGTTCTGTGTGTTTACTTTTGGCCTCTTTACCGCTTGGTGCATTTGTGTACATAGCGACGTCGTTGGAAGGTTCCCCAAAGCTGTCTGAGGTGAAAGTCACACAGGTTGCGGCGTGTATTGAAATTGGACGATGCCACAAACTGCCTTTGTGTTTTTGGCATTTTGTGTACTGCAATGTAATACCCTCCGAATTTTGGTTTTTGCACAATCACATTTCTTCACGGAAGTGCACGATGCCGACGTATGCTTAGATTCTCACGGTCTGTAGTTCGGACCTCCACGCTTCAGCCTGTAAGGTAAGCTGGATGATGCTTCCAGCCGAGTTTGTTTAGCTGTACCTACTGCAATGTGACGTGGGTTGGAATTTTGGTTATCCCACACTTGCTTCTTCAAGAATCTTCATGGAATTGCACGACCAACCCCAAAATGCGGTAGGTTACTCTGTGTTCAATCTTGGCATCTTTGCCTTTTCGTGTGTGCGTGTACATAGCAGGTTCTTTGTGTAGGTTCCCAAAAGCAGTCTATCCAGCTTTGGGGAAGCACAGGCTGCTTTGGTCTGTATTGGAACTGGACGATGATTGGAGGCTTTTTTGTTTGGCACTRTGTGTACTGCAAATGTGATAAAGAAACGAATTTTGGTTTTGGCACGAACTCTTCTTCAGGGAAGTGCACCCCTGTCTGCTTAGGTTCTCTCAGTCTGTAGTTCGCACCATCTTCCTGAARCCTCTAAGGTAAGCTGGATCAGGGAAGGTGCCATTTTTGTTTAGCCTAGTTTTTTTTTTAATTTGGCATTCGATTGTCTCGCCCCGAGTGTTGGTGGGCAGCACAATCTCGTTTCTTCAGGATTTCGTGTGTGCGTGTACAGAGCAGGTTCTTTSYTTAGGTTGGCACAGGCAGCGTTGGCCTGTATTGAAACTGGACGATGATTTGAGGCTTTCTTGTTTGGCAGTATGTGTACTGCAAACGTGATTAAGAAACAAATTTTGGTTTTGCACGATGCGCACATATGCTTAGGTTGACCGGGTCCACAGCCGGACTTGCAGGCGTCCACCTGTGAGTTGAGGTGGATGATGTTTCCAGCAATTTCTTGTATGACATGGAGAGAAGTGCATTGTTATGATGTTCGGAACTTTGCTTTGGGCACATTGTGTTTTCCCCCCCTAACTGCACGCAGTG